TTCAACAGTTTCAAAAAAAAAAATTTTAAAATTATTTCCGGCGAAAAAAAAAAAATTACCTTGTTGGAGAAGAATCCTTTGCCGAGGCCGTAGAAATTTTTCGACATTTTTTTGGATTTTTTTTTATGCTCGAATCGTTCGTTGAAGTTCGGAAGTTTAGAGAGATAGAAAGTTTAGAGAGATGAAATCAAAAAAAGGGTTAAGGGCAAAAGAGTAAATGGGGGGACGGTGACTAGTAAAAGGGGGCGGTGAATAGCGATTGAGTTAATTAACTCATTTATGGTCAACAATGTAAAAAGTTCTCATTTTTTATTTATTTTTTCATCGTTCGCTCTCTGTGTTGTTGGCTGTCTTTTTGTTTCCTTAAAATGGGCTTTCTTCAATCTGAATGCTTCATGTGAAAGTTCGTTCATCCCTTTATTGCCAAGTTACTCTCGGCGTTTTGGGGGTTTTAAATTTGAATTAGGAGTTGGTTTTTGCAAATTTCTTTTTCTTTTTCCCTTACCAATCTTTTCCAATTAGGAGTTGGCCTTTTATTGTCATTTCCTCAGATTCTTCTTCAGAATTTATTTATTCTAAGTTCGACACTTCATGGCTTTGCCGCAGGATTTAATGGTGACACAGTTTCGTGTTGGAATGCCTTATTATTCAGCTAGAGAAGTTCTTTGATGGTATATTGCGAAATGTCTATCCTGCTGACCGCAATCTTAGGGTGGTAAAGGGAAACTTTTTGTTTTTTTTTAATCATCATTGAAGTCATCATATTTCATCAATTTTCGAGTCAAGGAGATTTCTTGAATCTGAGAGCGCATGACGAGGGCAACAATGGATATGTTAAAAGTAAAAACATCGGTTATGCAAATTTGGCTTCATTGTCCCATAAACATTTCGTGAGCAAGGTCTTGGGAATTGTTGAACGGTCAGCTGTCAAAGTGACACTTGTCCACTTGCATTTTTCTTTGTGAACACAGAACGAAATCAGATTTACCACGAGTTTATTAGCACTTTTGTTGTAATATATAGCCACTCGAGAGTTAACAAGCGAACGGTTTCTTTATGCTCTAAAGAATGGGGCATCCTGCTGCAGTTTGGGACCATAAGACTTCACTTGAGTTGACAAAAGATTGGAATGGAATTGAACAAGTCGTGCTTCGAAACCCTCAGGGGGCGTCGGCAAGAGTAAGATCGGTTTATTGTTTGCTATTAATGTGGAATTGTTACGTGTGTAGAAATTCTGATGTTATTTTTAATTTAACTGTCTTTCCGTTTTTTGTAAGATAGTTTCTGTTTCTGGTGTGATTCGATCTGTTTAGTTTGGTACGGAATATTCCTAAAATGTTTGTGTTTTTCGTGAATTCGGGGGAACATTTAGGTAAGTCTCCACGGAGGACAGGTTATCTCGTGGAGAAATGATAGAGGTGAAGCACATCTGTTCACTAGTAGTAAGGTGTGGTTTATGTCCTAATTCCACACAGATCTTTTCTCGACTTTTATTATTTATTATATATATATTTATTGAGGTTTTGCAAGTTATGCGATCCAAGGGGGTAGTGTTGCTTTTAACTTGGAATGTTAAAACATATATTCACTTATTTTTTCTTAAATTAGTTTTTGTTAATAAAATTATTTATGTTGGAATTGTAAAATAATTGCAGGCCATATTTAAGTCTCCAAAATCAATGCACGGAGGAATTTCCGTTTGCTTTCCACAGGTATGTAAAGTGAGGTTGCTTATCAACACAAGGATCCCATGGTTTGAAGTAAAAATTTTTTAGCAACTAATCTATTGATCTTGTTTGTGTAAATACCATAATACAATGCATTTAAAAATCCTTGAGCGCCCTTTTAATATACTTATTTTTTAATTATCATAGTGGATTTTATTTCAAGTCCGACTTGCATGAAGCCATTTGAAAACCATCCTCAAAACCAAATCCTTTGATCTAAAAGGGTAAGTGAATTGTAATTGGTGTTTATTCTGGCTACGTTTTAGTTTGGAAACTGTGGTTCGGTTGATCAGCATGGATTTGCGAGGAACAAAATTTGGACCATCGAGGATGATCCTCCTCCATTGCATGCTAGTGATTCTCTTGGCAAATCTTTTGTTGATTTATTACTCAAACCAGCCGAAGAAGATCTCAAGTGCTGGCCTCATGGGTAATTGCTTGCACATTTTCTGACTATTATTTGAAAGATAATTTACAAATATATTTCAACATTATAGATAACCCCTTGATAACTAAACCTCAAGGCATATTAACAATATCTTCCATATTGTATCCCATAGGTGGGTATTTGTTTTGTAAACACGAACCTGAAGGTTGTCTTTGTAATTTGAATGATAACTGACTTTCTTCTCTGTAAGTAGGCGAATCATATCTGTAGGTTTCCTTTATTTTGCAGTGAAAGATTGTGCTCTATTAACACTAAAGAGGTTTATTGTTCACTGCAGAAGTGGAAAATGATATTTTTCCCAGTAGCAGTACCTTAATTTTTTCCCCCTTGTGCAATTATATTTGTTTCGTTCAGATACACTTTTTACAGTGTAATTATCGATTGAATTTTTTCATTTTTATCCTCCTGGCAGCTTTGAATTTCGCCTCCGAGTCTCTCTAACATCAGTTGGAAACTTGATGTTAGTATCTCGTATCAGGAACATAAATGGGAAACCTTTCAGTTTCTCGTTCGGCTATCACACGCACTTTTCTGTTTCTGACATAAGGTAAATTTCAAATCAAGATTTCCCATTCTTTAAGTAGTTAGTTAGCAATATGGGATTGTTGTTACTGTATGCTATGGAGAATTACTGTGACTAGATATTGATGAGGTGATGATGTGTTTTTTATATCATTCTTTCATTTGGGGGTTTTGGTAGTGGTTGCATGTACTAACTGCAAAAGTCTGGATTTGTTTGAACCACACTTTTTTTTTTCTCTGTTTTTGACATTTTTGTGATAATATTAACAGTGAAGTGAGGATAGAAGGTTTAGAAACTCTGGATTATCTGGACAATCTCTGCCAGAAAGAACGCTTTACCGAGCAAGGTGATGCCATTACATTTGAATCAGAGGTAAATCTTGTCCACTCACGCCTTATTTACTTAGTTTTCAAATTTAGGAGGCAATCAAAATGTGTTGTTGTCATGTTCCCTCTCACAGTTCTGTATTATATTGTGTAATCAACTTTCTGGTGTGTTTTTACCTTATACTGATATTTTTTATTTTATTTTTATCTTGTGGTTTTGCAGGTAGATCGTGTTTATCTAAGCTCACCACAGTGCGTTGCTGTTCTGGATCACGAGAGGAAGCGAACATATGCAATGAGAAAGGAAGGGCTACCAGATATTGGTAATCGATATGCATCTATTTTGACAGAAAAAAAAATATATAAATACATAATGCTTAAGTTTTTTTAATTACTGGAAGTTAGAAATATGATTGTGATCAACTTCTTTGGATATATATATATTATATATATAGTGACTGGTTCTAATGTGATCTATTTTTAAATGAGAACGTAAAGTTTAATCGCAACAATCCATCTATTTAGATCTAATTAATTAAATTGACTATAGAAATGAATTTCATTATTCCACTAACTATGCTTCGTTGAATATGCAAATGTGCTTCATTCAACGTCTAAACAAGCAGTCTATCATGTTTGTAAGTATATTATTGGTGCTCATTTAGCAGGGCTATAATGCAAATTCGAATTTTGTTTCTCTATTTAAAATATTTTTATTGGTCAATTAATCACCAACAATTTTAATGCATATTTAGAAATGCATGAAAGCATAGCTCTGTCTTGAATGGCTAGAATTCGCCTCGCGATCCTATTTTAAGAACTTGGGACCAAACTATAACATGTCCTTCCAACACCAGAAAATCATTACACAAAAATTTAGTTCCAGAATTTCTACTGCCGAACAACTTTGAAGCCAAAAAGAAAAAAAAGAAAAGAAAAACAGAAAAATCCAAAGCCTCAAATTTTCAGACCTCGAGTAAATACAAGCAATAGCAAGTCATAACTAAATCCTCAAACCAGACGAGCCCAGTAAGACACTTATATTTGAGATATCTTCTACTTGGGAACAAATTATACGCCCCTACGAGACTCCAACTGCTTCGTATTCTCCAATAATATCTGTCAAGTGAACCAACATCAGATTGCAAGAAACAATTTGTCATGCTAAAAATTCAATGTGTGAAATGAATTATAACTGTAACCACTGAGAATAAATTCCAACAGCCCTTACTTCTCGTACATAACTCGCCACAGCTTTGCAACCTTCTATAGCAAGTTGCATCACATTCTCGAAAGTATCCATTTGTAGCTTAGCATCCATCTACAGATGTATCATCATTAATTGATTCAAACATAAGCAAAGAGACAGGAAACTTTATTGTTAAAAGATCGACAAGGTTAATACAAATTTTACCCACAAGGTTCAGTCTAATTACAAATAGGCCAAATTAGCTCTCCCTCTTCTGTGAATTGCTCTCTTAAGAGGGATATTTGCCAGGTAAATGAAAAAAAAAACAATTTTTATTATGTTTCTAAACCACTTTAAGGGGAAAGCACCTGAAGGAGGGTGACTTTATCTAGCTTAGGCAAAATGCCAACTGTAACGTCTGGCCCGCCAGCACTATCTTCCACATAGTTCAGATCTGTTTCAGTTGCAAGATCGGTATTATTTACTAGATAATAGAATCATAAAGAATTAATTAAATAATAAATAAAAACTGCATAACAACCTAGAAGTGGAGTCCCGTTTAGGTATCCAGCACCACATGAGGTCACAATATCACGCATTGGAATACCAGCATCAGCAAGCGCCAGAGTTGCTGCATTTATGCATGCAGATCGTGTTCCTGAAAAAAATAGTATAGATTCTGAGAAAGAGAAAAAGAAGAAGAAAACAAAGTTTATTTGGACAAAATAAACACAACTAACTATCTTCCAGGAGTGTGTTGTAACTGCTTAAGGGGGTAATATTTAACTTCTTAGAGACAAATGGCTAATAATTAAGCTAAAATTTAAGGATAGGTCTTGCAATTATTCCCAAGAAAAGAATAATGTTGATGCCACTTATACAACTGAAAGAAGAATCATGAACATGACAAGGATCCAGTCTTACCTCCATCTGCTTGGAGAACTTGGACAAAAATGTCTATCTTCAAAATACACAGAACAAATAAATTATTTTAGAGAAGAAAAATAGAAGAGAAACTATATGAGACAATCTTGGTTAGTAAGACTTCAATAGAACCTGAGAACGAGGCATTAGGTGTGTCAATATGCAGGCCTCCATAGTCTGGCGAATGACCAATGATATTTCAGTGGACCGCCTGCACCATGAAAATTTACTCACACTGAGTTAATTCCATATATACATATATAACGCATATACACATAAATCACAAAACATTATGGCAACAGAAGAACAAATTTCATTTCCAAGTTTTCAAGAAAGACATGAACAGATGAAGCTCATCAGTAGTGAAGAATAGCTATATGCAACTTTCGAAATGGGACTCCGGCATTGAATTACCATGTAGTAACTAATGTCCTGGATACAAATTGAGCATAACAATTGATCTGCGAGTGAAATTACCTATCACCCTTAGGTTTCCTCATGCGATCTCCTGTGCTGAAATTAGCCATGCTGTACTCACAGCGTACCTGAGAATATATATGTCATATCAAGGATAAGCACCCAGAATTATGGTGGGCATGGAAAAAGTTATCACAAAACATGCATCAGATTCTGTGAAAGGTGATTACCAGTGCCTTGTCATTAATTTGTTGACTCCTATTTTGGACCTGAAACATATTGATTGAGAACGTGGTTTCAACTGATAAATTTGCTCATAGAAAATCCATGAATTGTCAAACAAGCAATCATCGGTTATCATCTCTGATGCAAATCTCCATGTTGTAAATACATACCATCAGAACAAATGCATAGAGTGAATCCCCATACCAGGTTACCGGCTGCTCTATGCAGTTCTATTACATAATCGCCACATAGTATTGACAGTATAACATATAAAGAATTAAAGAAAAGTAAGTTCTGTTAACAAGTAAATGGGGTGAAAAGCTCAATGAGAAATTGCTTCCATTGAAATTCTTTTGTTTTAGCACAAAGGGTTATATACTCATCAGACAAATATCAACAGAAGCGTCAATGGCATTAGTATGACAATGAATCCCACAAAAATCAAATGTCATATATTCATCATGTTCAGCCTAGACAAATATCAAGAGAAGCTTCAATGGCGTTAGTATAATAATGAATCCAACAAAAAATCGAATGTAAGAAGCATGCACACATCAGCTCTTTTTTTTAAAGGAAAAAAGATCTTCACAAAAGACCTATGTCTAGACATAGCATTCCAATCTGAAATGTCGCAACATGCGCAAATCGATACAAAGACTAACTTTTAGTTATAATTAACTTTAAACTATATCCAGATATAGCATTCGAATCAGCCATGTTGCAACATGTGCATATCGATATACGACTACTTTTAGTTGCAACTAACTTTAAAGTATATCTAGACATAGCATTCGTATCTTCCAGTCGCAACATGTGCAAATCAATATAAAGGCTCTAATTTCTAATTACAACCAACTTCAAACATTACTCGACACAGGCAACTAGCTGTTAGACTCAAAATAATGAAGTATGACAGGAATTAGAAGTTTGCTGAAATACATTCTTATATATCAGATAATAAAGAATTTCCTGGTTCTTTTCACGAGAGGAAAAAAGGTACCTCTCTGGGACCGTAAACCGCAGCAATGACCTTAGTGTTGCCCATTTCAAAAACTGCAGACCTGCAATTAACAGCATACATTTTTGTTAAAGAGAACTTGGTTGGTCACTCATACAATCAATTCACCAGCGCTTTTTAACATAAACCGGCGAAAAATAAGCAAGATTGAAAAACCCGTCAGCTCTTGAGACTACGCCTATCTCCCCACGAAGCTGCCTCATCTGAAATTCAAACGAAGAAAAAACATAAAATACCGAAAACTAGGGGGGCATTAAAAAAGATAAGTAGCGAGGAACTAAACCTCCATAGGACGGCGACCATCTAGGCGAAGACCTTCGGGGTTGACGTACTCCATATTAGGTTTCGAGGGTACTGTATGACTGTATGAGAGAGAGTAGAGAGATAGGAGCAAGAGAGAGGGCCACCGTACGCCGCCGCAGATGGTGGTTGCTGTTGATTTATGTGGAGGTTGTATTCTTGAGTAGGGGTGTTCATCGGTCGACCGAACCGAAATACAAAAACCGAATTAACCATATTATTATATGTCAAAAACCGAACCGACCGACCGATGTGCTTAAAACCGAAGTATTACCGAACCGAATTATTCGGTCGGTTAACCGAACTTTTACAAAAACAACTTTTTTAGTATTGTTTAAAAAAACAATGGGTACAGATTGAACAAATGGAATAAATCCTCCATTCCAGACTTATAAATCCCAAGATTCTGTACAATACAACTATCTACAAACATAAATCTCACAAAGCATTCTATTCTCTAATCAAAAAATAAATCTCACAAACATAAACACATACAGTCAACATAAACATCACACAATTCACAAATATACATGATCTTCACTACAGGTGTGGAATTAGACAATAAAACAAAAAAGACTTTACCTTGATAATGGAACTTAGATTTTGGGAGAGACGAAAAATTGGGAGAAGACTTTCTCCCTTGATGGTGAACAACCGTGTGCCCGGCCAAAACCTCCAAGCTCAGCCCTCGACTGACGAATCGACGACCGGTAACAAGGAGTCGCAGACGCAGCTACTTGAACCGGAGAAGACGATTTGGTAATTGGGGGATGATTCAGGTTGGGGCGATTTAGGGAGAAGGAGCGGCGCGCCGGCGGCGGAAGATTTGGGGACGACGAAGGAATTGTTGAAGAGAGTAGGGAGAGGAGGAGACCGACGGGGTTCTTTTTCTTTTTTTTTGTGTGTAGTATGTATTCTGCCTGTATGCTTAGGATTAGGGATTGAAGGTATTGAAATATTATATTATAATATAAAATATAATATAATAATATAATAATATATATATATATATTTTATTCAGTTGGTTCGGTTTTTTCGGACATTTTAAGTCTGAAAACCGAAACCGACCGAAATAACTGAATTTCTAAGGGCTAAAAATCGAAAACCGACCGAGACGGATAAAAACTGAACCGAAATTTTTTGTTCGGTCGGTTTTGGTCGGTTCGGTCGGTTTTAGTCAAATTCTGCACACCCCTATTCTTGAGTTGTCTAATTGGGCTATGAGATGATTCAAGTGAATTCCAACTGACAGGAATATATGGGGCTGGACAAGAATAATAATTATTATTGGGCTTTCTAACCATATTTAGAAGGACGGCCCGAACTCTAAAGAAGCTGAAATTTTTATTTTCGTAAGAAGGGTGGCAGTGAACCGGTGGGCAATCACCAAATTAAGTGAAAAGGTGCAACATAAATGACAGGGAGGTAGCCGCTCAAGCTACTACTTCGACAGCTTTGGGTCGACCACGACTTTTGGCATCCGATATATCTACAAGACATTTCACGAAGGTGGAAGATGCAAGAGAGAGTCCAAAGTAGTTTCGTTGTACTTAATTGAAAGCATAATATAAGAGATAACACGAATATGTACTACTTTAAAACGGGTAATGGTTGCAGAACCTTGACTTGATACATATGGTCTAACCACCTGACCACAATGGACATTGAGTTGAGCCAAATACAAGTCCCAACTGGGATATGGATCTCGAATTGAAACTACAGTTGGAATTGTAGACACATGTTTTTATTTTTTATTTAATTACCCTGATGCAAACCATAAACGTCATTTAACTGAATTTGTTTCCACTTAATTTCTACCTTTTGGTTTTGGTGATTCTGACTTATATGAAAATTTTGATCAAATGACTTTAAATTCATGTGCAAGTCAGGTTCCATGTATTACTCTCACCTATAATATTCAAAACTCAGTGGTTGCATAATATTTTTTTATACAAACATTTGAAATTTTAGTACAAAGAGATTTTATTTATTGCGGTATTTGGTCTGATCATTTGTAAGACTATTTATATGAAAAATACTTGTCATTGAGTTGATGTTAGTTATCTTTTACAAATATATATTAATTGTTTATACTTCATTTAATGTCGCTTATATTGCTCAAAGTATTGCTCCTTTAATTACGCATGTGTTGAATGATTACAAAATTGATCAAATTTTTTTCATTAGTTTTGGTAATGCTAGTTCTAAGATTGCTTATTGGTTTGAACTTATACATCTTTGTCGTTCTCTTTGTGGTGTTAACTTTTTTTACATATCGATGCATTTGTCATATCCTTTGTATTTGTGTTGAAATGGGTTTCAAGTTCTTAAAGAGTCTGTTGTGCCAATTAGGGTGGCTTTTATGTATTTGCACCTTAATCCTAAAGAGATGAAAATATGAGAAAAACTTATGAGTATTCAACTAGCTTCGTAACATGTTATAAAAAAAAAACCTATGAGTATCACATTCTTTTAGTTGATTTTTTCCAACGTACGTGTATGAGCAACGTCATTCTTCAATCTTCATGAAGATGATTGGGCTGGACCTCAAACTATTATGAACATTTTGGAACAGTCTAAAAATGTTACCGATGTTCTTTGGTGTCTACAATACTACTGCTCAAATTGTCCTTATTATATTTGAGTTCTATGTGTGGGTTTAGATATTTTATCTGAGTGATCTGAAGATAATCGTGTAAATTTAAATGATATGTTGTAAGCATTTCTATAAAAATATGTATCTTCTTTTACCAAGAAAAAATTCATCAAGTAAATGACGGATAATTACGAAGTAATCAACCTTCTAAACAAAGTTTATACACACTTTTATTGCACTCCCGTAGAGAAGTTAGCTAGAAAGTTTGCAATTTTTCTATATTTTTTTATTATATATGTAATATGTTAGTAACAATATAACCATATTTATAGTAAATATAGTATAATTTTATAAATGATATAACAATAATATTAATATTGACATAAATAAAAAATAATATTAATATGAATTTACATTTATTTTTATGATAATATAGTGATAATATGGATGATAATATAATTATATTCAAGTTCCATTCATTTAGCACATCAAATAAAATAACTTGTTCATTCATTTTTTAAACCATTTAACTTTTTACTCATTCAATTCCTATTTTATATTATACGATGAGTCACATTTAATTACTCAAATATGATATTGTGCTTGATTTTTATGAATTTTTTGTTCTTGATTTTTGAATAATTCAAGTCTTATAGTATGTTTTTTTGCTCCCACAAAAACGAGGTCAAAACATAACCATATTGACTCCAAAGAAGTAGGATATGTGACTATCTCCCGCACTTGCACACTCATTCTCGGACCCTTTCTTATATAAGGACACTAATCGCAGATCAAAATATTCACAGAGAAATAAATCATTCTCTTAATATCGGATTTAATTGTTGTTTCAGTTACTTGGAAGCACGACCTTTTCTCTTCGTCAACCCGTTTTTACGCTAAACCTCACTCAAAATTTTTACTCAATCATTATTAATTACTATTAGTATTATTTTTTCCAGAATTTCTATACTCGCCGATCATTCCTCGTCTTCTTGATCTAATGTAATCATTTGATTTTCATATCATTTGGTCGTCAAAATGAGCGACTCAAATTCACAACCCATCAAATACTCTGTCCACAAAACCGTCACCACGAAGCACATCTCCCCGCAGTGCGCTGGCCAGATAGTCAGGATATCCATCACCGACGGCGACGCCACGGAGTCCTCCGGCGACGAACGCAGCTACGCCAACTGCCGGCGCGTGCGGAAGCACGTGAACGAGATCAGGGTGGAGGCCGAGAGGCCGCCGCCGCCGACGGCGGCAGCTCCCGCCACCAGGAGAGGTGGCCAGCAGGAGAGAAGCGCCGCCGCCGCGAAGAAGAAGCCGTCTTCATCTCCGGCGGCGGGGGCAGAGGGCAGAGAGAAAAAGTACCGCGGCGTCCGGCGGCGGCCCTGAGGGCGGTACTCGGCGGAGATCCGAGATCCGGCGCTCCGGGCGAGGGTCTGGCTGGGCACCTTCGCGACGGCGGAAGAGGCCGCCGTGGTCTACGACAGGGAAGTGATCCGGATACGTGGGCCGGACGCCACCACCAACATCATCCGGCCGCCGCTGGGGGCGGCGACCAACTCCGGCGAGGAGGAGTCGTTGGAGAATCTGTCCTCCCCGACCTCCGTCCTTAAATCGCGGTACCTGAAAACAGCCAACTCCGGCGAGGAGAAGGATCATAAGGGCAGGGTGGTTGAAGATCCGCCGCCGCCGCAGGAGTTGCTGATGGATGACTGTCTGCCGTTGGATCAGTGCTTCCTCAAGGACTATTTTGATTTTCGGTCGCCGTCGCCGTTGATCTACGATGAGGTGAGGGTGCAGGAGACGGTGTTGGAGGATGTTCTTTTGGACGGCCTGGATTTTGAGTTGGGTCACGAATTCGGGTCGCTGACGTGGGATGTCAGTGAATTTCTCGAAGATCAAATTTTGGTTGGTTGAGATTTTACCAAATAATTAACTCCAAATCCTAATCGCACACGTGTGTGTGTGTGTGTTTCACTATAGGCTTGCGCAATTTTGGTACATGCATGTATTCCTGTATTATTTAACAATTACTAAAATTGAATGCATGTATTCAACAATCAGACAAACATGTACAACATACTTTAAGAAACATAAACCTAATACATAGAATAGATAATTAAACTAATAAATTTTCACTAATAATCTAGCATTCAACATTTTCTATTTTCTGTTTTTTCTATTTTAATATCTTAAGCTTATGTGATACCTTTTTGGCTGTTGGAACCTTGAATATACTTAAGGGATTATAATATCATATACTCCCTCCTATTCATAATAAGTGTCGTTTTGAGAAGTTGCACACTAATTAAGAATAATTTTTTTGCCAATAATAACCCTCATTAATGAAGATAGAGATGGATGTTTTAAAAAAAAGATGAAGAGAATATGAAAAGACGTAGTGTATTTATTAACTAGATGAGGGTAATAATGGAAAAATATGTACAAAAGATCCAAAACGACATTTATTTTGGTTAATAGTTGATAAAGCCAAAATGACATTTAAAAAGAATAGGAGGTAGTATAAAATAAACACACTGTTTTACATGTTTCACGTGCCTAAATAATAAATCGAGATTAGATTTACTAACATTGTAGGCAAGGACAACAGAAAGATTGATTTGCATGTGTTGTTAACATATAATTTGATCTGCAATTAAAGGGATACAACAGAGCAATTACTTTTGATCTAAATTGCCTATTTTAGAATAGTGCCAAATGTTGTTCCCTTATCGGCAATATTTTTTGGGGAAGACTCATTACTCATGCTTGGATGATCTTTTTATCTTCAACATATGATTTTACATATATATATTCGGTACGTATGATTTTATATATATTCGGTGAATTTAAGAAACCCACTGATGTTTTCACGTTGGAATTATAGTATACTTTGATTTTTCTCATTATTTTTTCTTAATCATGAAATTAGTATAGTTAGTATTATCTAACCAATCATCATAAAAATATATACGACTCATGTAAATTACAATTATAGTCGTCAAGCACAAAGTTAACTTTACTAGAAAAAACTTTTTGTTGTTTAATTTACATATTGGATTTGCTAAAGTAATCCATGACTAAAACATGCTTAATATTTACTATTATTATGTTACACACAAACACATACATTACGCTTATAATTCCATAAACATAACGCGCATTTTAATACTTAGCAGATGAGTCCCAGCATAAAAGAAAATAATGATCGAAAATGAAAAGAGGATCTGATGACGTATGAAGTATAAAGTAAACTGCTGGATAAATTAATATTGGTAAAATTTGGTACAGATTTAATGTATGAAAAATAGACAATTCGGTAAACAACAAAAGGAAAATGTGAATAAAGATGATATAAAATCAAATTTAAAAAGTAAGAAAAAATAGTATGCTTAACATTACTATAACAAAAATAAAAGGAAAAAATAAATAAAGGCAGGAAGGAATGAAGAAAATACACATCTTTAATCTTTTTGACTCACGGACAATTAATTTAAAAATTATATATGAATGCATTAAAGCATCATAGCTTTGAAAATGATTGAACAGCTCTAAGTTGATTAAAAGTTCAGTTAAGTGATTCCTAGAGAAAGAAATGCTATGGAGCCAATGGTTGGCTCCATAGCATTTCTCGACTAGAGAATTGAAAGCCAATTCTATTTGGAAAAAAGTGCAGTTAAGTATAAATAACAAATATTAAATCTTTTTTTAATAAAAAAAAAAGAAGAAAGAAGATGATTAAGGAAAGAAAGAATGAAAGAAAGAAAGGAAAGAATCAGGATGAAAATGCAGCAAGTAGGCCCATACTTGCCCATCATCATAGCCATAGAGCCTTTGTAACTAATTATGATTAAAATCTCCTAAGTGAATGAGAATTCAGAATTACATTATGTGCACCTAAACAGAGCTCTGACCTTTTCTTTTCTGTTGATACTTTTCTTTCTAAAGATAATTATTAATTGCATGCATGTTATCCACGTGAAAAATTAAAATTATAATGTAAACTGGGCCAACATGCTCTTTCTTTCAAATGAAGTAGCATGATGAATCTTGATTGGGCCAACCGTAAGTTCATGAGTTTGAGCCCATTGCAACTGATATGAAACAACTTCCTATAAAATTATCAAATTGTAATGAATTTTCAGAAATCTCTTGCACATTTTCAAAAATTTCCCTAGCTTTTTTGTTTTATCTTTCCCCAATTACCTTGTAGCTAGAGTATGATAATGTTGTCGATGTCTCTAACTGGGGGCACTATTAACCACCCATATATGTAAGGCTAAAAATAAATAAATTAAATAAAAGTGAGTACAGTAATGTGATCAACTCAGGAGGCAACATCAAACTTAATGTAAACCATAAAATAAAGAGAGAAAAAGCATATGACTCCAAATGAGAAAAATAAAATAAACTAATAATGGGAATCAAATTCCATGAAAAATAAGTAAATGGCTGGGACTGCAAAACCCAAAAAGACAACAAACCTCAAACAAGGTGCAGTTATAAAACTAAAAAATGATGATTGTGAGGTGCAGAAAAAAAAAAAAAAAAAAAAAAAGATTTCCTTTAACTTCTCATGGAGATAAAGAACAATGTATCATGTATGTCTGCAGAGTCTTGCAAGAAGAACATGGGATCTGCATGTTAGAATCAATGAGAAGATCAATCAAATTAATGGATTTAGTTTCTGCAGCGATTGCTCGAACCATGGCCGATATTGCGTGGTTGTGTTGCAGAGGGAAGTTTGAGGGAGAAGGAGAAGATGATGTCCATTAGAGATTCACTCAAAGATGTTCACAACATTCTTATCTTCTTGCAGGTGCACTTCATTATTATTATCATGTATTTATCTTACAGAATTATTTATATAAAAAAAAATACAATCTTGGCTTAGTTATAATAACAATATTTTCCCTACAACTATAATTGACTCTGAAAATGGGTTTCATGTATGATTAATGAATTGCACAAGCAACACATGCATAGACCTAGAATTTTATATGAAATTGGGAAAAATAAAGAATTGTTTTTTTTTTAAATAATAACAGTCAATCATATCAATGCTATGTATGAAGATTTTTCATTTTTCTTTTTTAATTTTGGGAGTGAGGTTTAAGCTATCCCCTTAAACCGATAAGTTACACTTATACTTTATTTTTTTATTCTAAAATAAAATGCAGGGGCTGAAATCAAGCCAAAACAAGCAAAGGGATGATGCATTATCCCATTTGGAAGAAAGCATAAAGATTGTGATACAAAGAATAAATGAATACCCAAAAAAGGGAAGGAAAATGTGGAGGTTCTTGAAGAGCTGATCACCACTTTTGTTAATTTCCAAAGTAAAATTGATGAGAAAGCCAAACACAAGAATGTGTTGGGTATTGAGAGCCAGAGGTCCAATTTTGTTGTTGGTGTCGCCAGATTTGGGGTAGAGTTTGTTGTGGCATTTGCAAGTAGGAAAATGCTCCTTCCCCCAACACTTCCCACCGCATGAAATACTCCATGATGTGTCTTCTGACGTGGCAGTCTAATTTCCTTACTTTTATTAAAAAATTTCCTATCTCTCTCTCCTCTTTCTTTCGTTCTTCTATCTTCCCCAATTTTTTTCTGTCCAATTTTTGTTCGCCGCCTCCGTTTGTAGTCTCGTTCTTCCTCGAATTTTTTTCTCGATTTTTTTGGTCTGCTAAATTTCCTTCTTCTCCGTTCATAATCTCCGTTTTCCCCAATTTTTTTTGTCGAATTAATCTGTCGAATCCAATTCCTTATTTTTTGCCAAATTGACCAATTCTTCACCAGAAGCTCGAGCAGGGGCCGGAGGAAGAATTGTGATAGGATGCCGAGAAAGTGGGTGGTGGATACCTTGATGCGCGTGTGGAGACCAGCGGCTCTCAGGGAGGCGAGCACGCGACTCATGGCCCGAACCACCACTGAGGAGACGTTGCCGGGCCACTCGGTGGCCTCGGGCCGACCGTGGGTGATGCGGGTGGCTTGGTACTAGGGAAGAATGGAGTTTTTGAGCCAGGTGTCGACGTTCAATTGGAACTGGGAGAAAACGAGGAGGTCGGGGTTGGGAATGCCGATGGTGAGCTCGATGCCTGTGTTGGCTCGATGCCTGTGTTGGAAAAGGCCTTGAGGACTTGGATGTTGGAGTCGTATATTCGTACGAATCTGATGTTGTGCTGCTGGATGAGCTGCACAGCTTTGTCTGGAGTCGGGAGGTCGTCTGAAGAAGATAATTTACAGGACAAGATCCGACCATTGTGGGGGCATTACTTCGAGAACACTTGAGGCCTGATTTTCGTCGCTGACAGTAATGATCGGGATCGTGTTATTGAGGCGAGGGATGAACTGCATAGGATGTTGAATGAGGATGAACTTAGGGATGTAGTGCTTCTTGTTTTTGCAAACAAACAAGATCTTCCAAATGCAAGAGCACCTTTGCAACCTCTGGTGAGGCCTCTACGAGGAGCTTGACTGGCTCTCAAACAACATTGCTGACAAGGCATAAGAAAACATGTGTTGGGAGAATTTAAATGGTCATCTCTACTTGAGGAGATTGGATTTGCGTTTCAGCACTTGTAATGAGACTCAATTGTGTTTTACTTTTCTATGATTGTGTTATTTCTAAGCATGTTCAGAATCTGCTAAAAGAGAACAAAATGTGACTTTCAGTTTTAGATTGAAGTGATCATTAGCCATANCAAGCACAGGACATAACAAAGTTCTTAACCTTAAATGTTCAAACAAAATCAAGGATATGACATTTTATGGATCTTCTAGTTTCAAGAGTTAAAATGATAATCACCCAACATAAGAAAGATTCAAAAAGCAAATTCTGAACCTCCCAACATCAACCAAAATCATTCACTAGCTTGATAATCCAAAAAGGTGAAAAACATCAAGTATCAAAATTCTCAAAAGATAAACATGTTCTTTAATAGCAAAGCAAAATATAAAAAATAATATTCTCAAGTCAGGTGGAAACAAAATGAAGCCAAAACTTGTTTTCACTCTTAGAAAAAAACATAAACTACACTAATAGATCATGTAGTGGGGTACTGATCTTTATTTAAATCAAAACATCGATTTTCCTGCAAAAGTAACAAAAAAAGAAAAAATGAGATAAAATTAAGAAACCAAGTAAATAATAAAATTGGGTTATAAAAATATTGTTATAACGTGTGATTATATTAAATAATAGTTACCTGTGTCAAATCTTCTGTCTGTAATGTATTATTCCCCATAGCATAACTTCTACCCCATAGTGGATTAAAAAGACCCTATAAAACATTAAGATATTATACTTACAAAATTATTAATTTGAACTTTGCTTTTAGTAATGTAAGCCGTAAAAATGATAATAGAACACACATTTTCTTGAAGTTGAATCGAACTACTCTCGGGATAAATGGGTGAAGCAAGCGGCCTTGGCATGTAATACCCTCCAAAAGCTGAAATTGGATTAGCCTGTTCGATATACATGAATAAGTGAATATATCATGCTTCAAATTGTTGTTAAATTGAAAATAAAAACCAGTTATCCATGCAAGTTAAGTCTAATGAATTGTGTAAGACCTCTTAAAAATCATCAACGCCCATGAAAACAAGTTAATGGAAGTTTACCTTTTCTTGTGGTTGAATTGAACTATTTCTGGGGTAAATACATGAATCTGGTGGCCTTGGCATGTAATATTCTCCATAAGTTGGAACTTGATTAACCTATCAATTATACACAAAAACAAAGACATAACACACTTCAATTTTTTAATAATTTAAAAAAAAAATATATAGATTTGAAAGTAAACATGCTATACCACATTATTACTGAATGTAGCATTAAAAGGATTTGGACCAAATATGCTATTGGCTTCCAATGTTTTTGTAGATGCCTATCAAAAAAAAAAAAAAGAAAAAACATAAAAATGTCAATTTATATGCATTACTAAAATAAAATTATAATAATAATTTTCACTTATACCTTTGTGGATTTTAACCTATTTGGTTCGGTCTCTTTAAGCTTCTTGTTTTGATTCTTTTTTTTCAGCTTTTGAACCACAACTTCCAATCTCGAAATTTTCCTTTTTGTTGCAGGACGCCCTTTCCCTCGAGTGACCATAGGACTCAATACTTTATTTGTCCTATTTATCACTTTTTGTTGCTCAGCAAAATCTTGTGGCTGTGAAAAAGATGTTTGAACAATTTTCTTTTCGTCATTGGTGATCTTTAACTTTAATTCTCGTATGCCTTTCATCACCAACTCAAATTTTTCTTCATCGTCCGCAGCAATAACGGCAACCTCATGGAGTGCCTTGCACATTTTTTCACATCGTTGTATTTGCTGACTCAAAGGATTGTATCCTATTCTCACTAAAGTATATCTTCGTTTTAGATCCTTTCTCCATCGTGGCAAAATAAAGCGAGGATGAACTTCATTTATTTTCCTTGCAATTAGCACCGATACGGTATGTCTACAAAGAATTCCTCTGAACTCGAACAAGCGGCAAACACAATTAACTCCATGAGTAGATTCATCAAAATGGACAGTAAAAGTAACAACTTTTCTAATGTCGCCAACTTTCACATCTTCTTCAACTCTATACTCATATACGGAATTTTCAGTCTTAACTAAAGAAGGTTGACAATAAAATTTGTCCCTCAACTCATCTTGAAATTCTCTAAATTTCACATTTGTATAAGCACTTTGAAATTGCTTTTCAATATCATAATTGCTCAAGCAATCAAATCGAGAATTCCAAGATTCATAATCTGCTACAGTCTCTTTCTCGACCTTTCTTTCAAGGCTTGTTCATACAAAGCAACAAATTGCTTCAAAGTGGTTTTATGATTAACAAACCCTTTAAAAAAAGCATTCATACCTTCACTTCGTTGTGTGGTCGACATACCCGCCCAGAATGAACTTTTCACATATGCAGGAACCCAACGTTTTCTATCAGCATATAATCTCTGCAGCCATTCATTATCATGAAGATTATAGCCAGCAATCATTACTGACCACCCATTGTCAAACTCATCTTCAGTAAGGGCATCATAAACAACTGCTTGCATGAAATTCTTGATGTCCTCATAGTTGGAATGTCCACTCAATTTTTCTGGAATTTTTTTCATTATATGCCATAAACACAATCTATGTCGAGTACTATCACCAAAAACAATTTCAATAGCATTTTTCATAGAGTTGCATTGATCAGTGATAATACCCTTAGGACGACATCCAGACATGCACTTTAGCCACGACTCGAATAACCACACAAATGATTTTGTGTCTTCATTAGTCAACAATCCACAACCGAACAATACAGATTGTCCATGATGATTCACGCCGACGAATGGAGCAAAAGGCATTTTATACTTATTAGTTAAGTAAGTCGTGTCAAACGTGATCACATCTCCAAAAGCTTCATAAGCAGCCCTACTTCGCCCGTCTGCCCAGAACAAATTTCTAATACGAGATTCCTCGTCAATGTCCATGACAGAGAAAAAAATTTTATCACCTTCTTGCATTTGAGCAAAATACTTGCAAACTGCTTCAGCATCTCCAACACCGAGCTTGCTTCTTCTTGCTTTCTCGATATGGTTGCGACAATCTTTCTCATTGAAGGTAACATTCTCATATCCGTTAGCTTCAACAACAAAAGAATGATAATTCTTACTTACACCAATCCCAGCTTCATCATTTATCTCGAGCCGTCTTTTCACACGATCATCTATCTTTCTGTTGCATCGAAAATGACGTGCTTTTCCGGGGCTTAACAAATGGTCATGATCAAGATGAACTGTTGTCACTCGAATATTTCCATCATCACACAATGTCAATCTTATCTTGGCTTTACAAGCCGTTTTTGTGGAAAGTTTGGAGGCAAATGAGTTCTTCCCCATAGATTTTTTCTTCTGATCATTTTTAACACATGCAAAAGTAAAGTATCTAACAACACCATCATCTCCTCGTTTTGAGCTTCTTTTCATCACACCAAACCCCTTCTGGATCCCATAATTAGAGTAATATGAATATGCTTCTTCTTGAGATTTAAAAACCATCCCCAATGTTGGTTCTTCAATAATCTCATTTTCATTCATTCTCTGTAAAAATAAAAAATCATAGAATGTTAAAATATGAATGAATACTATATTAAAAAAAAAAATATTTAAGTATTTTCAATATACAATTAAATACGTAAATATTAATTTAAAAAAGTTCAAATTAGTAGACATCCTGACAAATAATATATATTTCGAAACAGTAACATTTTCAACTAATATTTAAAAAAAGTTGGAAAAAAACTAATATGATAAGATAAAGTGATATGTATGTCAACAACAATAGCCAGTGTATATAGAATTTTTATATATTGCAAATTCTAAAGTTGTAACTAAAATAATATAATAAAAAAAAGCTGGTAAAAAAATAGTAATAAAATGATCGAACCTGGATAGCACAGTAAGAAAAAGCTATGAATTGTGGCTGGAAGGTAGAAATCTGTATGCACTGGAAAGTGGTTTACGGCGGCAGTAGGTGAGAAACCCTTTGAGTAAGAATTGTTTTTTAATTAACACAATTTTAATAAAATTCAGCCTTTTTTCCTTGTCCCAAAAATAAGAAAAAAATTGATGACTTGGACTGACACATAAGGGAGTAAAATTTATGCGGGGTAAAGAGACGGGGGCTGCAGCGGTATTCTTGCAAGTATGTATGCAACTGTTAAACTGCGCAATGGCAGGCACAAGAATAGCAATAGGTTGGAAAAAGATGTGGCTGCACCATTCTTGCTTTCAAATATCCATCTCGATGTGTTAAGTGCTTGTTTTATTTTATTTATATTTCTTTTTTGTATATATAATTTTTAATATACTACTTTCTTTATTATGTGACATGGAATAAATAAACGTATACTCCGCCCAGCCATAGTCATGATCTATCCAACAGTATTTTTTAATTTTTCATACGATTCTCCTGAATGTGAAATTATTGGTTAAGTTTTTAAAATAATTGTGGAGGATGATCGATCACCTCTTGTTGATTTTCATACCATTCTCCACCACTCAATTCTATCGTGTTATTGTGCTAGTTATATCAATAAAATTTTTTCAATTGATTTTACCTGTCCGACCGACTTGTGTTGGTTGATTCGCTAGAGATGTTTTATTCAAACGAACTGGACTGGTCGATAAATCGACTTTCAATCCATCCAGTTGGACTTTTCACGTACTAATTAATAATATAAAATTATTTGTTCATATTGCTCATCACAGGTGTGACTAATGTGAGTGCGAATATCAATAGCATAAATATTTGTTTACGGAGTGGGCCGGCCCGCCCCGCCCTGCCGAAAGAGTGGGCCGGGCTGGGATTTAAGAGGCCCGCTGGGGAGCGGGCCTAAACGGGTTAGCCCACGCGGGCCACGGGCTTTGGCGGGGCGGGCCGCGGGCTGGCCCGCCTGTTGGGATCTGTGAGGATCTCGTTATGTACAAATCACGAATTCAATAGCAAACGTAAACCTACGCGCAGCGGATCTAAAGGTTTGA